AAGGTAAGGGGGAGGGGGTGGTGGGTGAGGGTAAAAGGGATCAAATATACGGTGATGGAAGGAGAACTGACTCTGGGTGGTGAACACACAATGTGATGTATAGATGATGTATTACAGAACTGTATACCTGAAACCTATGTAACTTTACTAACAATTGTTACCCCAATAAACTTTAATTAAAAAAAAAAAAAAAGGAAATAATTTGTCTAGGGTCACACACTGGTGGGATCTGACCTAGCATCAGACTCCACAAGAAAAACAAAAAGGGAATTGAGTTCAGCAAGGTGAAACTAGTTGCAGTAAATTTTGAGAGACAGGAAAAGTCTACAGTTTGAAACAAGAAATGTGAGAAAACCCAGAACTAGAGTCAAATTAGACAACAGCATCTGAACAACAGAGTCCGTGATGACACTATCGCATGCTGTGTATCCTACATTTAAGAGGGTCCTTTCACTCCCTTATACCACAATACCTTTAAATTTAGAATAATAAAACGTGTGGGGAACCACTAATATGGCCTTAAATATCTTATCACTTACTATATAATAATAATCTGAAGACAAGGAGGATAAAGTGTTGTGCCAAAAGTTAAATAAGAACCAGACCACCTGTCTTTTCTGTCCCTTTAGGCTATGTTGCCTCTTAGGGTTATTTTTGCGGGGGCCTACTTTATAGAATTAGAATTAGGAGACATCTAAAGGTATGCAGCATTTAATAATTTACCTCTTCCTTGAACTTAAACTTGAATCCTGAATATTAACTTTACCTCCATAATCCCACAGTCAAAAATCCTCAGAGTAAATAAATGCATCTTATATAAAAAGAAATCACATGGTATTTTTTATAGTATGGTATTTTAAAGCACAATATAAAAGACGTTAAAAGTCAGAGATGAGGATTTTTATTTTAAAAAAAATTGTTTTCCAAAGGTAAATAGGGCCCACCTCAGATACGTATATAAAATAGTAGGGCCTTCAACTACTGTTACCAAATTAAATGACATTGTATGAAAACGTAACTGGGCAGCAACGCGGATGGATATATGTCTCTTTAAGTCTCTTTATCTGACATGCATACAAGTATAATGCAATGTGAATTAATGAAGGTAGTTGCTTTTAGGAATATCTTTTTATAAGTCAGATTGAACAAATAAAAGAAGGGGAATATATAAAAGAAAGATTTAAGAAATGGAAAACAGTTGCCACTGGTTGAATATATAACACGTTTTAAAATCTCTTTCTTCCATTTAAGAAGAGTCAGCTAACTCCAAAAGGAAGAAGCTGCTAAGATTAAAGTTCTAAACTATAAGAAATGAACCCTCTGGGTTCCCCTAAGGGAGGGTGGAACATTACCAGTGTGCCAAATGCAACGACTAGCAAACACTTCCTTATCCGTCTTGACCATGTAGGGCTAAATCAGATCAGGACTCAGGCACTTCTTGAACCAGTGCATTTTTCCTGTTTTAAGGTTGATTGAAAGGAAAGGGAGTAGGGTAGTGAGGGAGGGGAATAGTGAACTTCGTGCAAAGAGAAAAGCCAAAACTCTACAAAACAACATGGGTGATGAGAAAGTCCACTAGCACAAATGGATCTAAGATAATTTGATAAAGAGGGGAAGGAAACGAACTTTGATTAAATATCTAGTATGTGTCATTTTAGGGAACAAGACCTGGCTTACTTGAATATAGTCATTTGTTTTCAAGGACGAATTTCATTGCCCTGTGAACAACGAACTCCCTTTAAGTCTTATTATTTCTTCTGTCTCAGTCACATTTGCAGATGATTCTACCTGCATTTGTGTCATTAAAGCAGATATAAGTATTGCTATGGAGTTATACTAAAACGTTAAGAACTATTTGCTTTTCACTTTCTAAAGCATTTGGGACAGGCTTCCATCCTGAGAATATGTATTATAAACTTCAGAGATAATTTCAAAATGTGTCAATACCCCAGCAAGTATTTTTTTTTTTGCATCCCTGTATATTTTTGTTTCATACATGAAACAATATATTTTTAAAACTGATGCAGTGGCTGTCAGGGATAGGCACGCCTCAGTCACTGGGTATGGTCAGCTGGCCAACGGCAGGATCATGAATACTTTAAGGAATGCTTTCATGATTAAAGATTATGCAAGATTTAAGATACACAAATTGTTCTCAGTACCAATGCTTTACATTTACTTTGGTACTTACGTTATATTCGGACACGACTCCTTTATAAACTTCATAAAACTCTTCAACATTAACTCGATCCATGTTGAACTGTATTTAACAACAACAACAAAAAAAACAAAAACATAAGCCAACCAAAGAAAATGAGCCACACTTGGCACTCAACATTTATGAGCTCTTGGATATATTTTCTGTCAAATGTAAACCTTGCATAAATTACTCTTTGAAGAAGAAAGTGTTATTAAAGATCAGCATATCAACAATAAAAATGTATAACAATTACTGAGTGCATTGTTCTAGGTCCTGTACAGGCATCACCTCATTTGACTGTCACAACAGCTCTGCAACGTAAGCAGTGTTAACAGCGCCAAGTTACAGATGAGGCTAAAGCTCAGAGGTGTTATGTAACCTTAACAAACGTGCATTCCGCCTCAGTCTAAGCTTACTGAACATGCTCTTAACCACTACGCTATCCCTCTCTGTGAATAAAACCTCATTCTCAATACAAACCTCTCCCCCAAAAACCCTTATATATAATGTAATGCTGTTTATTGATAGATTGGTGGCACAAGCAAAAAATATTACCAAAGAAAAGTACTTCAGATTTTGTAGAGAGGGCTGAAAATATACCCCCTTTCTCCCAAGCATTCAGAAAAATCCCTAACAAAGGCATTTTTAGTAGGGGTAAAAATCTGGTTCATCATAAAGCACTTCTACAAGTCATCTAGAATTCCTACTGCTCTTCAAAAAGAATTGTAAGACTACCCTTACAAGATAAGCCTACAAAGACTCATTTATGTCCAAGGTGGATTCAAACTTTGTTGGAAATAAAAGTTCATTAAGCTCGAATGTCTCAAAACTAAGAACTTAAATTAAAAAAAATAGTCTCAGAATTTCCAATTTTATTCCCCTACACACACACACACACACACACACACACACACACACACACACACACACATATGCTCTTTGCTTCTTTATGGTTGCCAGGACTGAAGATCTCTGGGAAATTCCCGCCTCCTCAATCATTCAAATTCAGAGACTTTCTTTTCACAGGCAACATAATTATTACACAGAGGGAATTTTCCTTTGAGTTCAGTTTTTTATCCACACAACCTGTATTATTAATACAAGAAAGTAATGACAGAAGATATGATTTATTAAGCACTTGGTAACTTGCACTGGAAATTCTACAATTTTTGCATTGGAAATTTTTCCACTGGGTAAGGTTATTTCATTTAATCCACAAAATAATAACCCACTGACGCAAACAATAATTTCCTCATTGCTTAGGTGAGAAAAGTGAAGATAAGAACGCTTGAAATTTAGCCAAGGTCACATGCCTACAAAGCAGCTGACCCATGATTCAGAAACAGATCTTTCTAACTCTCCAAAAATCAAGGACCATGATCACACACTACGCCTCCCCCATATGTTCAATTAATCCTTTTTTTATTATTCTTGTTTTCCCTGATCACCTACTACGGCTGATCACTGAGCTAGGTCACAGGTTGATCTTGCTCGAGTTAGTGAGATCAATGTTTAAAGCTAAAATTTCCACAGTGATGATTTTTTTAAGCAGGTTGAGTTCCTACCATCCTGTGAACACATCACCTACCATCCTGTGAACACAAGCTGCTACTATGAGAAGGTTTGGGCTAACAATTTCTTTAGAGTCCTAGATAAGATTCTTCAAATATCAACTTCCTCATCAGTCTCCAAGTTTTGCTTCATGACTTTGCAAATGAGTTGATATTTCTGACCATTTCTTGGCTTGTGGGCATTTCCACCAAACAGAGACACTAAATAGGCAGAACCCCAATTAGTGCCTGACCCGATTTTAGGTGATCCGCCCATACTTATTTTGCAATTAAAGTTCCTAGAATGGCATATACCTACCGTATCAGCTTAAATTAGATGTACCGTTTGAATATTAGTCCTCTCAGTGAAAGATTATATGGGTAAAATAATTTCAAAAACATTTCTTGGTAATTAAGTTCAGTAACTATATAGTTTTTATTTTCAGTGCATTGAGTGCACAGAAAAAATTCAACATAAAACATTTTAAAGCTTACGTACAAAATAACTCAATAGGCTCTGACTCATGCCAAACTACATACCATCTGCATGGCTGAGATTTCAAAGCCTGCATCTCGGATAGCCATCAGAATCTTT